AAAATAATAATTATTAATTAATTTTTTAGCTTGTTTTAGAAAATTAATAGATTAATTATTAACATCTATTGGTAAATTAATCATTTTCTAAGATAACTAGAAAAAAATTATAAAAAAATTAACGAGTTGTTAGCGAATTTATCGAATCGAGTTAGACTTTACTCGACTCAGCTCGTTAAGATCCCGAGTCGAGCTCGAGTTAACCCGAGTCGAACTTTTTCCAAATTTTAACCGAGTTGAGTTCTAACGGCTCACTAGTTGCTCAATTCATTAATCACTCCAAATTTAAAATGAGGTTAAAAAAATTAACACTCTTTTGTTCAATAAAATGAATATGTAATTTTCTTTTTTTTTTTTTCTTTCTTTAATACGTTAAATTATGTTTAATAGTTTATTCAAAATATGGAATATAATCTTGCACCCAACACGTCACCAATTATCTTCTCAACCACAGAATGACCCCCATATTTTCATTACATGGACGTAAAACTCCGCAGATTCCGCGTGAAATTCGGCGCCCTGCTCAAGGTTAAAGTAATAAGGGCAAACTATAGGAATGATCACTTTAATTTCACTTTTATTTTTTTTAGTCATCAATTTTGAAAATTACATTTTGATTACTTATGTTAACAATTTATTACATTTTTCACTAAATCGTTAACTCTTGTATATGATATGTTAGCAGAAATAATTCATTTTTAAATCGATCCCTATTTTTTAGATGAAATATTAATTTGATCCTTAAACTCTCTTAACCTCTCTTTTAATTCACTTTGTTGTCGTTCACTGTCAAAATTATTTCGGTCACTTTTTTTTCGATAATGAAAAAGTTGGATGATGGGTTCTGGTTATAAAGTGGATCTCAAAATGGTTTCCAAGGACGTCAAGATTTACGCTAAGATATTAAAGTTGAGTAGAGATAACAAAGATGTTGATTAGACCTTTTGTCCAACCTTCCTTACTACATTGAGCATGATTATATGTAAGCTCTTTGTTGATGTGAATAAAAGGGTTGTGTCGATTGTTGGTGGTTTACCACTTTTAGTTTGAGCGGAGAATCACAACTGATGTAAAGACAGTTGTTAGTCGTTGATTCTCTTGGAGAATGAGATAAAGATAAGTAGTGTAAGAGCGAAGACAAATAATGTAGATGCATGAACTGATGATTAGAAGTAGGAGAGACAACTCCCTCTTTTAGCCTTTTCTTGGGATATAAATACCCCAATTATAGGACTATTGGTGTCAGGTCTAAGATCATTATATTTGCTACTAGGCTGGTGTAGACACCTGTTTTTGTCTGAATCTACAAAAACATTTCATTTTATTATTTTATTTTGTTTTATATTTATTTTTTATTATTATTAATATTTTTTATTATTTTTGTAGACCCTACATTCAACAATCCTGATTTAGTGGAATTCAGAAAATAAATCAACGTATTTGAGTCTTATTGAAACACTAAAACCGAAGCATTTGAGTCCAAGTAGGACTCTAATTCTGAGCTAAAAATAGGTTTCTTTATACTATAAATAGACTCAAGCATCAAGAGGAAATGACACAGAGAAAAACGTGGGACCACATTCCAGAGTCTGAAACACAAAGTACCTAGTGTGCTGCTGCTTCACACGATCCCAAGACATTTAAATCCAAGTCTGGGGTTACACCAGTGGTGCAAAAGCAAACAAGAAGAAGCGCTAAAGATTTGTAGTTGAGCTGAATACACGGACTTTAATTTCCATTTGCAGTTCGGAAGGTTTTTTTTAATTGCTTTTGTTGTTTTGGAACGTGTTTGTTTGCGGAATTTTACAATTGTTGGTTTTTTTTGCTTTATAAAATACCAACACTGACTGTTTTGAAATGGACGAGTTCTATATTTGTTGTGTTTATTTCACATGTTGGTGTTTCTTATGTTCATTTGTCATAATAAATATGAATTAAGAAATGATAATACATTATTTATTATTATTATTTATTTATTTTATTATTTATTATTCATTTTTTCCTTTTTGTTTAGCATTCAATATTTTATTTTGTCATCTACCATTTTGTTTATTTTTGCTTCGCTAGTAATTTCAACCGAAGGTAAATAATTTGAATCGGGTTTTTAAATTTCAATTTCAATTTTTGCAATTAAAGACAACCGGAAAATTAATTGGTACCGAAAGGGCGGTTCAAGGGTGTTAATCCTTCCTTGACCATAACCGACTCCCGAACCCGACACGTTTCTGGTACAATGCAGATCAGGTAAGATGGTGTCCGACCCACCTAAATTTGTTTTAAAGTTCATTCACGTCGAAGCCCAATTCCGAGGCCCAACCGAAAGACGGTCGCGACAGTTTGGCGACTCTGCTGGGGACAGGTAAGTGAGTCAGGCCAGAGTTAATTTTCGATTATCTTTTTACGCGAAAATCGTGAATTTAAATTTATTTATTCGATTCAAATTATTTACCTTTGATTATTTTTCAAGTAAATAGTTGTACTGATATTTTTTTCAATGTTTTCAGATTTTTTTTTAAATAAAAAGTTTCATCTCAGGCTCTATACCCGAGCTCCAAACCCTATTTAAGTGGGGTAAAAGCGACGCCTTCGTGTGAATTTATTCACCGTGCGGGCCTAGCAAGTAACCTTCGGGATTCATATACCTTATGTCTTCGTGTGAATTTATTCACTGTGCGGACATAAGGGAATGTTTCCTCTCGAGTTTAACTTAGTCCACACAAGCTTGTAATGGGCTTAGGACTAAGGGTCTGGCAAGCCCAAGGGGGCACCGACAAGGAGAACTCGAGTACCTTTTTAGAACCTAAACCAGGAGAGTACAGGGAATTAAAGCCCACCCCAAAGCCTAATTCCAAACTCTTGGATGCCTGAATTATTTTTTGCTTTACTTTCTGTTCAAAACATGCGAACTAGACAAATATGCGGTTTATGATTTGTTTTAAATTAGCATGCGGAATATAGATCATGTCCGGGTAGGAATTAAAGCATGTGGGGTAGATATCATATGGGGTAGGATGTTTCCTTTTTATTATTATTATTTTTATTTACCTCACTAACTCTTTTTATTTTTTTGTTATCTTTCATTTTTTTTCATCATTCGCATCATTTAAAAGAGGTATTGATCCACTAAAAACGTGTTTGTTAAACATGAATAATCTGCATTAATGGACAAAGGGGTTGTAATACAAGAGATGAAAATGCAGAGGACAGTCAAGGCGACTATGTGTCACATTCAATCTAGAAGACGTGGTGCCCACAATTGAAGAGTATATCACTCTGTTGCATTATAAAGGACTCAGAATAAAACGGGTCTACATCAAGCACAATGAAAGTCTATCTTTAAAGAACTGACTGGTAAAGGTTACAGAGTAAAACGAGGAAAAGGTTACAGACCCGGACGCTCCTTTCAAAAACTACGAGAACAAGATGGTGAAACCCTAGCTGAGCTAAATGCCATTGCTGACGAATTCAAGAAGAAAACTTTTGGATAGTTTCTATCGATTGAGGGCTCTAATGGTGTTGTCGTTATGGTACAGACTCAGCAGAGAGTGGAAGCCGGAGGTGCAGTCATTCGAGACTTTTTTTTGGGGCAAACAATTCGTCATTTGCATGGTTCATCTAGAGAAGCCAGAGTGGTTCGACAGGTTATTCAACCGGTGACAGACAAAGGCAGAAGACTAGTCAATATATCAGAAGCTGTCAGGATATTTTTGTCTCTTAAAAGATAAAACATTTTTGTCCCCAATAAGGATTATTCCTAATAACATACACATTTTTTGGATCAATGCCTCGAACATTGCATGCATCATGCATTTCTGCATATTTCACATTACTTTTCTCTTTTTTATTACATTCACATGTCTAATAAAAAAATGAGAACATTTCGATCCTATGACATATAAGGAGCTTTACCAACAGTTGTTGACGCACATGTGGTGTCACCATATCCAGAGAAATCCATGAAGCCCCATACCCTAGGTAGTATGATGAGAACGCTCATTGCGAATATCATAGTGGTGTTCTAGGGCGCACTATCGAGAACTACTCCACATTCAAGAGAATCGTACAGAAAATACATAACAAGAACTGGATCGACTTCAACAACTCGGGGGCATCCAAGTGAGGCAGATCATTTCATCATTTGAGGAATTATGTTTGAGTTTGTCTTTTCATTTTTTATCAAGTTTTTATAAGAACATTTGAATAAATTTATGTTACTTTAATGATGACGAGCAATGAATCACATTTGCAAACTTGCAATTCTTTGAATATCAACTTAATTAAGAAGCTCTGTAAATGGTTCAAATTTATGAATCCCTGACAAAGTAACATGATTTAAAACAAGGACTTTGACATTACCTAGAATATACACTCAAACACCGTATCATGCTCTTGCAATTAACCAATGTGACATTTTCCTTTCATAAGGTGCGGACAACATGAGGCATCATTTTATATATGACATTACTATACTTTTTATTTAAGGCGTTCAGTGATGATAATAATCTTCACAGATGGAATAGTCGAGTAAGCAAATCTAGTTTAGGCCAGTTGCTTGGAAATTGAACTCTAAAGATGAGATTCATTGACTTTTAACAACACTTAGGCTATAACAAGTTCTTCTTGGTAATCTTAAGAAATTAAATCCGTAAAAACTGAGCTATTCTGCTAAGACAATTGGTTATAGAGGAAACTCGAAAGCCCTGACTTTATGAATAGATTGCGTTCAAACCATGACATTGCTCAGACACTTGGCAACTCGGTGTTTGTTCCACTGCTATTGTCAGGCTGAAGACTTTGTGATGAGATGAACCCTTCAGTTAACCTGATAAAAGTGATTATAATATTAAGCTTTCCCTCTAAAGCAATTGGTTAAACGCCCTAGCTTTATGGATTTAGCTAGTCAGATAATGGCAAATTAAATCAAATTTATCTAAACAAGAAATTTTCGGTAATGATGGACTAAGGGAGTTAAGGAACATCTGTTATAGTCAAATTCACACGAGCACTCAAGGATTTCGTTTTTAGACCAATATTTCTGCACTACCTTTGTTAGAAGAACTTACAAAACTTGAACAAATGGAAGATTTCAGAGGATTGAAATAAAAGGTCTAGTAATTGATCATGCTAGTTGCGTCATTTTGTCCACACCCAATTAAAATGTCAAACCAAAGAAAAAATATGTTGCGATATTTCAAAAAATAATATTTTGGGTTACCGAAACCTTAGAAAGGAAGTCAACTTGAAGTCAATTTGAATATTTGTCAAAGAGCTATAACTCTAAAAGCATTAAAAAGAGCTATTGATTCCTTTGATATACTTTAAACTCATGTTTACAATTTGATTTAATTGCGAACAATATTTTACATAATTTTTATCCTTTTCCCTCCTAAAACAAGAAAAAGGAGAAAAACATTTTCAAACAGGACAGTCTCAAATATGAAAGGTTAGTAAAGCCAAAGCTCGAGAAGCAAATGGGGCACGATCCCATGGATCATATTGGCAGACAAAACACGGGACTCCAATCCAAGATAACTAATTCATGTTGCATGCATCTTAGATATACTTAGGAGCATCACATTTATCATTTTTAGCACACATAATTTTTTACAGATTTTAGAGTCAATTTCAACTTCGCAGCGAAAGAAATTGGACTCGAAACAACACAATTTGTTCGAGAGTAGATTTCAACTTCACGGCGAAGGGTATCTAGCTCGAAGCTAAACTTCACAATAAAGGGGTCATCCACGGTTTCAACTTCACGACGAAGGGAATCGTGTCAACCCGCAATATACAATACTTGGATTTCAACTTCACGGCGAAGGATATTCAAGTCAAGGCTCAACTTCACGACGAAGGGGCATCAGCGATTTCAACTCCACGACGGAGGATATTGTACCCACACATCCATGATTTCAACTCCACGATGGAGGATATCGTGCCATTCGGGGCTCAACTTCACGACGAAGGGGCTTCCCAATTTCAGAGCCAATTTCAACTTCACATCGAAGGATATTGGACCCAAGACAACACAAGCTCAACTTCACGACGAAGGGGCGACTGATTGTCAACAAACAACTTTTCAATTTCATTCAGAGTCAATTTCAACTTCACAACGAAGGATATTGGACTCAAGACAACACAAGTTCAACTTCACGATGAAGGGGCGGCTGATTGTCAACAAACAATTTCCCAGTTCCAGAGCCAATTTCAACTTCACGGCGGAGGATATTGGACTCGGAGCAATACAACTTACTTGGATTTCAACTTCACGACGAAGGATATCCAATTTCAGGCTCAACTTCACGACGAAGGGGCCACCCGCGGTTTCAACTTCACGACGAAGGGAATCGTGCACATAAGCATCATCCATCTCTAGATTGGATTTCAACTTCACGACGAATGATATCCAACTCAAAGAATGAGTATCTGTCAATAAACTTTCCAGTTTCAAAGTTAATTTCAACTTCACAACGAAGGATATTGGCCTCGAAACATCACAACTTACATTGGATTTCAACTTCACGACGAATGATATCCAACTCCAAGGTTCAACTTCACGACGAATGGGCCATATATGATTTCAACTTCACGATAAAGGGAATCATGCTCACCAGCAATATTCACCTTTAGATTAGATTTCAACATCACGACGGAGGATATCCAATTCCAGGCTCAACTTAACGACGAATGGTCCATCCACAATTTCAACTTCACGACGAAGGATATCGTGTTCATTTGCAACATAGATCAAGTCGAGAAGGGTTATCTTCTAACAAAGACCTTCGAGTTCGACTACGCTCAGCTCCAAGGCACATCATTTACAGCATAACTCGAGGCTAGAAGGGTTATCTGTCAACAAAGACCTTCGAGTTCGATTCCATTCAACAACATGGCGTATCAACCGCGTTGCATTAGCAAGGAACTACTTTTCGGTCAAATTTTTACACCCAGGTCTTTAAATCGAGAAGAATACCAAGGTCGACCAAGATTGGCAACAAAGAGTCACTTTTCGATTCACCCAGGATTTCAACTTCAAGAAGAAGGATATCGTGCCCAATGGATCGACTTAGTGTCACAACAAACACTATCAAGTCTCAAATCAAAGAGAACCGGACAAAAACTGGTTGTCTTTTTCATCTTTGTCCTATTCTTGTTAACACAAAAAATGTGCAAAGAGGGACAGCTGTAGACACCCGTTTTTGTCCAGGTCTACAAAAATATTTTATTTTATTATATTATATTATATTTATTTATTATTTTTTTTATAGGCCCCATACTCAACAACCCTGATTTAGTGAGATTCAAAAAATAAATCAACGTATTTGAGTCTTATTAAAACACTAAAACCGAAGCATTTGAGTCCAAGTATGACTCTAAATCTGAGCTAAAAATAGGTTTCTTTAGACTATAAATAGACTCAAGCATCAAGAGGAAAGGACACAGAGAAAAACGTGGGACCACATTCCAGAGTCTGAAACACAAAGTACCTAGTGTGCTGCTGCTTCACACGATCCCAAGACATTTAAATCCAAGTCCGAGGTTACACCAGTGGTGCAAAAGCAAGCAAGAAGAAGCGCTAAGGATTTGTAGCTGAGCTGAATACACGGACTTTAATTTCTATTTGCAGTTCGAAAGGTTTTTTTTAATTGCTTTTGTTGTTTTGGAACGTGTTTGTTTGCGGAATTTTACAATTGTTGTTTTTTCTGCTTTATAAAATACTAACGCTGACTGTTTTGAAATTGATGAATTATATATTTGTTGTGTTTATTTCACATGTTGGTGTTTCTCATGTTCATTTGTCATAATAAATATGAATTAAGAAATGATAATACATTATTTATTATTATTTATTTATTTTATTATTTATTATTCATTTTTTCCTTTTTTGTTTAGCATTCAATATTTTATTTTGTCATCTACCATTTTGTTTATTTTTGCTTCGGTAATAATTTCAACCGAAGGTAAATAATTTGAATCAGGTTTTTAAATTTCAATTTCAATTTTTGCAATTAAAGACAACCGGAAAATTAATTGGTACCGAAAGGGCGGTTTAAGGGTGCTAATCCTTCCTTGATCATAACCGGCTCCCGAACCCGACACATTTCTGGTACAACGCAGATCAGGTAAGATGGTGTCCGACACACCTAAATTTGTTTTAAAGTGGTCGGTGACGACTCCAATCCTATTCATTCATGTCGAAGCCCAATTCTGAGAGCTAACCGAAAGACGGTCGCGACAATTAACAGATTGTGCATATATGTCAAATTTGGATATGCCACAAGTCACATCAAAGGTCGAAGAATATGGACTCTAGTGAGCCATCATGACGAAGTATTCTAGACTCCAACGATGGTGACGTGGTGTTGTATCTTCGGAGAATTTCTAGAGGGTATTCTAAGAGTGTGTAATCTTATGAGATTTTTATTGGTATATATTTGACAGTTTTCGGAGGAAATTCATTAAAATTATAATTTATGGTCTTCCCTTTGCTTGAGGGAAAGTCATAAGTGGCTACATCTGAGACTTACGATGAAAAGTTAATTTATTCGGAGGACATCTTTGTTGTGGTAGAAATAGGACATCTTTGTTGTGGTAGAAATAGGAAAAAGGCATCTTGACCCCTCAGGTAGATTCTTAGCTATAAGATGTGGTAACTGCAACTCAACGCCTTTAGAGATAACTCACGACTCTATAGATATTGAGGCAACTTGATGTTTCTACATTTAGCAAGCGGAGGCTTTTCCGCGTTTGGAGGTAATTCAACATATCCCAAAGAAGTCCAAGTAATGACCATAGACAATTTGTTCTACATTTAGGTTAATTGCATTTGGCATAACATTTAATTAAATAGACACAAATTAAATTACTTAAGTGATTAAAAGAATAATTATTATTCTTAGAGATCCTGAGTTTGAACACCAACACTTCAGTAAGGGTGATTAATTGTTTATTGTTAAATGGTTGAGAGTGCTTAAAACAAATACTACTTTGTAATCACATTAGTTTAATAAAAAGACAAAAAAAATATTTGATTAAATAATCATTTTGACATCTATTTTTCTTATATTATTTTGATTTTCAATATTTTATTTTGAGACAAAAAGACCCTTATGTAGATGAAAACCATTAGATAACAAATGGTTAACATTCTAAAATAGTGATCTTTTTACCCAAAATAAAATGTCGGGACCAAAATGCTCTTGAAAATAAAGAATAAAAGTCGAAATGATTATTTAATCAAATGTTTATGATCTTTTTGCCTTAAAATAAAATATTAAATTTTAAAATGTTCGAAAAAGTAAGTGTCAAAATAATCGCTTCTATAAACCTTTTAGATTAATTTTGACATTATGTCTTTACGATTCTACAACTCTTTTAGTACATTTAAAGATAAAGAAGAGAAAATGAATTATTTATTTAAATATATATAAATGTGTTATTTCGCTGCATGTTTAAAAAAAACCCTTCTTAAATTAGTTCCCCCCCCCCCCCATTATGTCCATTGCCCTAAACAGGTCAAACCGGTCCTAATAGATAAAGAATGCATGGAAGCTGCTCAGACCAGTTCGCTTTTGCAGCTGAAAAGATATTAATGAAGGAATTCTGGCACAAGCCTATGTGACCACCTCATTTTTACGAGGCACCACCAAATCCTAATCTTTGGGACATATGATCCCAAAACATGCGTTGGGGTTTTCATAGGAACTCTCTTTGCTTTCACAATTGTATTTTATGAATGTGGAGTAAAGGTGGGTTGTCCTTTACTTTTATATTAAAGGGTCCCTTGCCCTTAATTTTTTCAGAATAAATGAGTCAGATCCAATTCATTTTTGCTGGATGAACGCCACGTAATATCTTGATCACGTGTAAATTTGTGTGATATGACACGTAAATCTGTTTAAGATATACAGTCGATGCAAGTAATACAGTAGTGAGTATTGTCTCCACAGGAATGGAAAATTCTTTAAAGATTGCTACAGCTAGGAATATGTGTCACTAAGTAATCCTCAGCGTCTAAATCTAAAGATATAAACAAATGAGAAATGTGTTATGGCAAATGGTATGAACATATGAAAAAAGTTTGATGAGGCAAGAAATGTGAAGTGAAGTGAGCAAATAATTTTTGTCGTGGCAAGAAAAATATGCAAGAGTAAACAAGTAAAAATTGCTAAAGCAAAAATTAATTGCAAGAGTAAGTAAATAAAAGTTGCTAAGGCGAAAAATGTTCGAGTATCGAATATAGACTAACAACCTCACACAATCAGACTTCTAACGGAGAACTTGGGTTGGATTTTCTACGACGAGAAATTCACAATCCCGGATTAGTTCTCTTGTTCACATAAATCTAACCTAACTTTCTCGATATTAGGTATTAACTCCTAGAAAAACGACTATCTCTCAACAGGTCTTACAAAGACTAGGAATATTATGCCAAGGCACTAGACAATCTCTCAAAAGCACTTACAATGCTTAGACATAAGATCAAAACAGTGAACAAAACAACAATAAACATAAATATACTTATCATCCATTAAACATAAAATAAAGTATTATCCAAACAACTTCAACACCAAATAAAACAGTTCATAGTGTGGCTAAAAGCATCCCAAAATATTCATTAAGTACAAGCCCTTAAAATATAAGAAAAGAAGAACAAGGAGAAGGAAAATCCTAAAAAGCAGAGATGTTATCGTGACATCAGATCATCACCATGACTGCTCCAGTGCGCTAGCCTCTCTCGAGGGCCTAGCCGCTACTCCGGCGAAGCCCGGCTATGGAGGACACCAAGGAGGACAAGAGGGGAATAGTGGAGAAGTTGTTGCAGCTATCTTTTCCAAAGCTTTTAGGGTAGGAGAGAGTGGATATCCCTAAAATGGTGGACATAATGTGCTATTTATAGTGGAGAATTTCTAGGGTTTAGTGCCCTTAAAATTTC